GCAGTTCCGCCTGGCATTGAGGGCTGGCATTATGCAAATATTTGGAGGCGTACATATTAATGATCCCGACTATTGCGTCACAGTCGGTATTGTGTGGAGAACCGACCGTTTTTCAGGGGTGTTTTTCATAAACGTGAATTAAATGAGAACGCGAAAACAGTCCAGTTTGAGATTCACTCTATGTCATGTCCATGCACTGAACTCTTGTTATTTGACTATACCAAGGTAAATTCAATTTTGAACTATAGGACACCTTTAAGGAAAAGCCAGTCAGAAACCGTGAGGAAGTTTCAGTGAAGGAGTTAAAGCCAGATCTGGTGTTCAGCCGAAGTCGAGCGTCACAGACGCAGTGTATTCCCTGATCTCCCATCACTGCCGCTGTGTGTTCAGATCCTGAGCTTTCCCTCGCATCCCAATAAAACATCAACATCTCATGACAACACACACACACATCTCCTTAATCCACCGTCACGAGAGAAAGGCCTCTGCTGATGTTTGCGGAGAGCGCTGGTTGTACGGCCTCTTTGTGAAGGATATATCTGGGATTGTATCCGCACCGGACTTGCTTTAGAACCGGGAGATGCGAGTTCTAGCTTGAGCATCTCCGAATGTGTCCGCCGGGATCATGCTAATGTTTATGATTACTCAGCCGAGGCTCTTATCTGCAAACTGCCACATGCACCCGGAATAATTCTGTACTCCGCAATATCGCACAATCCATTTCTTCTTTACGGGAGAGAAAACAACACCTCATCAGGCCGGTGGCTTCAGCGCTCCGGGAGACAGACGAGGGTTTGAGGAGACTGTGGGAAACTGGAACGAGGATGATTGAGTGACAGGTGAAAGCATAATTATTATTATTATGATTCCCGGGGAAAGTTACATAAGCATTCACGCACATACAAACTTAAAGGTTTCCTGCCTTCACTTTTACACAAACTATATATCATTTATGCATGCTACCAATTATTATTATTTTTTAATAAATAAAAAAAACATTTTAATTAATTTAACTAATTTTAAATTTAAATACAAATTTTACATTATTGAACTATTACACTGAAATACATACAGTATAACAAAAAAATCATAAAGAAGAACTTTCTTCTGACTGATTTTGAATAGATGTGACTGAGAGCGGAGAACTCCAGCAGGGGGCGGAGCCTCCAGAGGGGCGGGGTCTATAAAGGGGCGGCGCCTCCAGAGGGGCGGGGCCTATAAGGGGTGGGGGCTTCAGAGGGGCGGGTCCTCCGGAGGGGCGGGGCCTCTGCATTTGAAGAGTTTCACTTCTGCCCAATGGCGTTGACTCACAATTCAAAATAAAAGCTCGTAAATGAAACACTTTCACACTGAAAGAGGAAGTCTTACATAAAATGTAGGCATGTGTTAAATAAAGTTATAAAACATGCTATATAAATAAATATGTCTGCATATATAAATATATGTTTGCACCTCTTGATGGAAATAAATGTTGTGATGTTGTGCATCATTTGTGGTCCAGATCTCGTGTTGATCTGTGAGTCTCCTCAGCACATCTGACGTCTCAGGTCTCGACGACTCTTCAAGCTCCTCCTTCATTCTTTCCCAATCTGAGCCTCGGGAATCTGCAAACTGAGTTGTTTAAGGAATGAAACACACTCCATCAGTTAGGGTTAGAAGAACTCCTGCCACACATGTAACACGCTACACACATAATAATCACTGCAATAATGATCCAATCATAGACTCTTAAGCATTTGCCTATTAAAACCAAACTGCGACTTATTTCCGTGTTTCCTTTTCTTCCACTTCTTCACGTCCACGTTCACATATAAAGTGTTTAAAGTATGTAGTGTTCAGGAGTGTGTTGCTGTGGAGTCGCGATGCCGCACACACACACTGAGCTTCACACACACACTGAGCTTCACACACACACGTCTCTGGCTCTGCTGGTAATGAGAACAACAGCACTCGTTAGCCTGTGACTCTCAGACCCGTGTGAGATAACATGCTCATCCACGGAGAACATCAGTGTGCAGATGCGTCTGTGTGAGAAATCATTACCCACAATCCCCCTCTCGGCCTCAGACCAGGCCCTTCTGCTTGAGTCTCACTGAACTGTCGAAACATGGAGATGGTGTGTCATCTTTACAGCGGGATAGAGGGATCATTCCCCCGAGTGTGTTTAGAGGAGTGTGTAGTGCTTCTCCCTGGTGTGGTGTGTGTGTGTTACAGTGGCACATCAACACCTTTAGCTCACTGACTCCAGATCCGGCTTTAGGGATTCACACAGCACAAACTGCACATCTGGGAATACGCTTCCTGTAAGTGTGTGTGAGTGTGTCCTGAGAGGATAACCCCCTCTGATTGGCTGTAAGTGTGTGTGAGTGTGTCCTGAGAGAATAACCCCCTCTGATTGGCTGTAAGTGGCTTCCTTCCTTCCTTCCTTCCTTCCTTCATTCCTTCCTTCCTTCCTTCCTTCCTTCCTTCCTTCATTCCTTCCTTCCTTCCTTCATTCCTTCCTTCATTCCTTCCTTCCTTCCTTATTTCCTTCCATCCTTCATTCCTTCCTTCCTTCCTTCCTTCCTTCCTTCATTCCTTCATTCCTTCCTTCCTTCCTTCCTTCCTTCCTTCCTTCCTTCCTTCCTTCCTTCCTTCATTCCTTCCTTTATTCCTTCCTTCCTTCCTTATTTCCTTCCTTCCTTCATTCCTTCCTTCCTTCCTTCCTTCCTTCCTTCCTTCCTTCCTTCCTTCCTTCATTCCTTCCTTCCTTCCTTCATTCTTTCCTTCCTTATTTCCTTCCTTCATTCCTTCCTTCCTTATTTCCTTCTTTCCTTCCTTCATTCATTCATTCCTTCCTTCCTTCCTTCATTCCTTCATTCTTTCCTTCCTTATTTCCTTCCTTCATTCCTTCCTTCCTTATTTCCTTCTTTCCTTCCTTCATTCATTCCTTCCTTCCTTCCTTCCTTATTTCCTTCCTTCCTTCATTCATTCCTTCCTTCCTTCATTCCTTCCTTCCTTCATTCATTCCTTCCTTCCTTCCTTCCTTCCTTCCTTCCTTCCTTCATTCCTTCCTTCCTTCCTTCATTCCTTCCTTCCTTCCTTATTTCCTTCCTTCCTTCATTCATTCCTTCCTTCATTCCTTCCTTCCTTCCTTCCTTCCTTCCTTCCTTCATTCATTCCTTCCTTCCTTCCTTCCTTCCTTCATTCCTTCCTTCCTTCCTTCATTCCTTCCTTCCTTCTTTCCTTCCTTTCTTATTTCTTTCCTTCCTTATTTCCTTCCTTATTTCCTTCCTTCCTTCTTTCTTTCATTCCTCCATTCCTTCCTTCCCTCTTTCCTTCCTTCTTTATTTCAATCCTCCATTCCTTCCTTCCTTCCTTCCTTATTTCCTTCTTTCCTTCCTTCCTTCCTTCTCATTTCCTTCCTTCCTTCCTTCCACCCCTCCTCTCACTCTTTCTCTCCGTTCCTTTCTTTATCTACCCGATTAACTGTGAAAATAACCTCAGAACAGAAGGTCAAGTGACTGTTTTTTTGCTTCTCTGCACCCTTCATTTTTTTATTTAAGGTCCAGAGCGATAGAGTGCTCCGAGGTGGCCTAGCATGAAATTGTAATGCCGTGATAAACAAAAGGCTGTACGTTACACAGATGCAGTGTGTGGGTTTCGCGTATGTGATGTGTCATTTCACAAAGGCTCACATCAACCCTGCAATCATGTGCGCATATTGATTCAGTGCTGGATGTTTGGAATAAAATGCATATGAACTGTGGTTTTGTGCATGTCTGTTATTTTGTTCTTTCAAAAAATAAAACACAAACAGTATTATTACATCCAAACCCAACAACTTATTTCCTCCTGTTCGATGTGAACTCATTAATTTTCCAAGTGAGCTGCATGGCGACTTCGGGGGAAATGAGCTACAGGCGACAAGATGCTGGCGTGTCCAGCGAAGTGCGTATTTTATGCAAATGTAAGCGATTACCAATGGGAATGAAGACAGCAGGACTCGTGTCTTCTGCCAAGAGAATGATGTTGTCGAGGTTCAGCAAGACGCGAGAGAAGTTAATCTTCGCTGTGAGCAATAAGTCTCTGATTGTGGACAATGAATTATTGTGGAAAAAAGAATCTGAGAAATATTGCATGTATTGTGTGCGAGTACCACACATATTGTGGCCCCACTTACTTTTTTAATTACTGACATAATTCTGAAATTCAATGAAGCTCAATTCTAAAAAAAAAACTTGCCCTCACATCCTTTAAGGAAAAGACTCCTTTACCAACTTTACTGTAAATAATCAGCAAAAATAATCAATAAAGCAAAATTCCACTTGGATGCAATTGTATAAAATGTTATTGCATCATTTCTGTGACATTACTGACATATATAGAAGTGCAATTTGTTTGTAAAAGCTGTCAGAATGAGCCAGGAATAACAATATGGAGAGGTTTTGACCAACAATATTCGTTTTTAACCGGTCGGTGTTCTGCTAGCATACATTAAAATGATCCATATGTTCCATAAGGACATTTACACAGTATATACAGTGTATGTATTTATGTGTATAGGCTATATATATATATATATATATATATATATATATATATATATATATATATATATATATATATATATATATATATATATATATAAATACTTATAATAAATGATACAGCTAAAAAATGAACTCTTGATACCGGGTTTTTACAATCTTAAAATCATTTGATGGGCTCTCAGTGTCAGGCCTTTGTTCTTCAGCCCTAAGCGCTGCCTTTTATTTCATACAAAAAAATTAGTTCCGCTTGTATTGTGAACTAAAACCATAACCAAATTTCATAATTTTCAACACCGCCTCCATTCCAGGAGGAGTGACTCTGTGGTGGAATTTATTAGGCGTGATTTGATTGGCCCGTCGCTAATCCTCGTCACAGCGAAATCACATTCCATTGGACATTCTCCCTGTCAATAAGACAGTGTTTGCCCGCCCACCCGTGGTGCCGAATAAGGCAGAGAGTGTGTGTGTGAGAGTGTGTATGTGTGTGTCAGAAGCCCGGACGGCTCGCGCTCATCATCCCGCACTGGAGTCACGCGCGCTCGGCTGAGACATGACCAGAGTCCCGCGAACATGGAGCAGTTTAAAGCCATCGTTCCTGTTCTGTGGATATTATTGCTCAACAGAAACGAGGAGTCCCGTGCAGAGGAAGGTATGCATCATCTTTATAATATGCGTTATCTTCATAACTGTTCAGATGCCAGGTGAATGTGTTCGTTCAGACGGGAAGTGTGTAACTCACTGCAGGTGTGTGTGTGTGTGTGTGTGTGTGTGTGCGCGCGCGCGCGCGCTTTCATATTCCTGTAATATAGCAAAGTAAAGTTAATAAGCAGAGAAAGAAAGGACCGGCGTTTTGAATTATGAGAAATCAGATTCACAAGGTTTTAAAAGCAAGCAATCCGCTACAGGACGCTGTTGACGACAGGCTGCAACAATCTGCCGTTTAAGGGGAAATGTTACATGTTCATAAGCGAAAGGGTTGAGAATTATTGAAAATGGTTACATTTATTCTCACAGGATGCTACTAAAACACTGAATTATGATTGTTTTGTATTAAAATAAAAATGTCAATATAAACATTTCTTAATATTATAATATGTAGATTAAAATGACAAGATGGATAATCTTTTTTTGATAATCTTAATTTTTTTGTTTGTCATTTTAAACTGTTTTTCTTTATGTCTGTATTGTCATTTTATGTTTTCATCCTTCTTTAAAATGCAAGATGGAGAAAAACTGATTTTTTTGATAATCTTAAATGTTTTTGTTTGTCATTTTTAAGTTTTTCTTTATCTGTAGTCATTTTATGTTTAATTTTTCTTTGTCCTGTCATTTTAATCTTCTTATTGTAATACTACAAAAGCAGGTTTGTGTTGCACTGGATTGAGACTGTTCTCCGGATTGGGATTGTTGGACAGTCGGGAAAAGCTTCATCACTTGTGATGCATTAGCTCAGGTGAGTTCAACTAGCGTCCTAATGAGAGGCATGAGAGGAGTGGACAGAGATAATAGTGGCATCCCTTCAGGCTCAAGCCCAACACACACACACACACACACACACACACACACACACCTCTGCCAGCCTCGTCCTCTGCTGGAATGCTGGTCGGCTGGATTTCAATCGTTGCCTTAATGAATGTTTTGACAGCGATTAATTGCAGTGGAAGCGATGTGTTCTGAAAGGCTTGCGTGGCAGCGCTGAGATATGAAGGTTTGTGATTGAGCTGAATATGTTCTCACTGTACCAGAAGCTCTTTGTCCACGATTGCGTCCCAGTCCTGCTGCGCCGCTTCTCTTTGTGTGCAGCATCTCTCTCTTCTCTCTCTTCTCTGTGTTCTGTCTGTCAGCTGGGGTCCAGGCCGGATCGAGCTCTTTGTTGGTGCAAGTTATACTGAGACTTCACCTAAAAATGAAAATTGTCTAATTTACTCGCCCTCATGCCGTTTCCAAACTCACATATATATATATCTGATATCACATATATACATATTGATACATCTATTCGTCAAAGAATCTTGAAAAATAAAATGTATGAGTTTCCAAAGAAATCTGAACTGTGTTCAACACTGATAATAATCATAACTGTTTGTTGAGCATCTGATCATCATATTAGAGTGATTTCTGAAGGATCATGTGACACTGAAGACTGGAGTAATGATGCTGAACATTCAGCTTTGATCACAGGAATAAATTACACTTTACTGTATATTCACATAGAGAACAGCTGATTTACACTGGAGTAATATTTCACTGTTTTACTGTATTTCTGATCAAATAAATGCAGCTTTGGTGAGACTTCTTACAACAGCATAAAATACTGGTATTGACCCCAAACTGTGGCAGTGTGTGTTGTGTGGCAACCGTTCTCTCCATCCGTTAGTTTCCTCACACACGACCGTCACTCCGACTCCTCATCCTAACACACCTCGGCATCTCATTGTGGGCTTCTTCACTGTGTTGAGTGTTCCTTCAGCCCGTGTGAGGACACACACCGAAAGCTTTATACGCCTGTCATCTCTGTGCTGGCGTCCATCAACTCTCTGACACACTCGCCGGCACGCAGTCGTGCTTCCCAACGTGTGTGTTATCAAAATATTTATCGATTCAAACAAAGACCAGTTTGCATGGAAACTCATACCTCTGCACTTAATAAAACATGTTTATTATAGTCTCAGCTAGGGCTGGCACAATATATCGCAATACACAAATGCAACAATCTGTACTCTGGACAGTTCACCCAAAATAAAAATGTCTGTGTGAGGAAAAAATGCAAGTTTTCAAAGGTTTAGTGTCAGTACAAAATTAAACTACTATATATAATGTATAATAATGCAATGGGGGATATTTGATAATGCCAAATGTCTTGTTACCAGTAAAAAGTGGCCTACATTATTTTAAATATATCTAGTCAGTGACGGATCAAGTCTAAAATAATTCTGTATTTTCAGCTTCAGAATCATGAATATGTGTATTCTGGCGTCTCTATTGTCCTGTGCTTTGAGTCTCCAGCGCCAAGCCTATTCATTTACACACACAATGTAAAACCAAATTTAGCATTTTAATCAACAGTACATTTTTTTTTTTTTGTTAACCTTTTACCATATGTGTTGGAGTATGGCAGTAATATGGTCTGGTGAGTTCAGGATCGCGCCGCTACACCCCAGTCTCCGCTAATGATGACGGGTTTGAGCGGCAGGATCTGTGCTGGCCGTCCCTTCACTGAAGCTGAGCAGGGGAGGTCAGAGAGATTTGTGAGGTTGGAAGGCGTAACAGGGACATTTAGTGGGCCGTTGTGAAGTGTGGACTCCCAGTGAGCCAGAAGGAAAGTGAAACGATGAGGGCTGGAGCCGGGAGACGGCCGAGTCCCAAAGCAGAAACTCTGACTCCCGAGGCGTCATGTGGAGGTGGAAGGACAGCGAGGCATTTCCGAATGTTTGCGTGATCAAACTTGCTGAAACGTGACCTCATAAGGGATCGATGTGGAGCGCACTGTATAGGGAACGACTCGTGCTTCATGCGAATGTTGCAATATGTTGATAATTGGCATAAAGAACACTAGTCTTTTTAAAAATATTTTAAGCTTGATGATTTTCATACTGAGGGTTATTTTCCCTGAGCTTGTCGTAATGCATTCTGGGTTCATATTATTATTGAAGGGTGCTTTACATTTGTTTTTTTCAATGCGCAATAAGCAGTTTTCTGTGACTGTGCGAGACTTAAGTAAACAACATGAAGAATAACAAAGTGTAAATAAATTACGGTAAAGTACGGTAATAAATTAAAATCTGATAAGTAACAGCTTGCAAAATCAATATACTATACCAATCTATAACCGTAATATATCAATATAACAGACATGTATTCAAGTATCTATACATCAACACAAGAACATGAAGAAATATCAGACAACTTAAGCCAGAAATGTTAATCAAATCTGCAAATTTGTTTGAAGATCAAATGATAAAAGATCTGGCGTCTGTCAAATCATCTCAGGCGTATGAAGAACGGACTGATATTAAATACACCTTATTAATGATGTGAACTATACACGGGCGAGCAGATAAACCAAGAATATAAATGCCAATAGAAAACCTTTATAAAGAAAACGCGTAACCATTGCGTTATTCTTGGCTCTGTATATATGGATCATCATGTTTTAGTACATTTTCACTTTGTGTTTTAGAACGTCCTGCTATTTTAGTGATTGAAATATTGCTGTATATGGATCACAAGTGCCTAAAACTAGCATTTTGTTCACATTTTTTAGTGTTTCTGATTTGAGAGGTGATCTGAATATTGGTGTTTTGAAAGCTATGGAAGATTGACGGTCCTGATGTTTTGCCCTCCAGGACTCCACTATATGAATAGCCATGATTATCCGCTGTGGATGTCACTGGAGAGTCTTTACATTCAGCATTACTTGAACTCTGGTAATTATGCTTGATAGGTTTCATTATTGACGAGTCCCGTATGGAGTGTATCGGTGCGGATCGATGCGGCGTTCAGCGTCTGGAGACGAGGGTCTCTGGGATTCTTCTTTATCCCGGTGAGGACGGGTTTCTGCAGGAATATCCCTGGAGACAGAGGCGTTTCTGAGGCTGTTTTATTACCAGGAGAATATTAATGTTTCTGGAATGCGATGCAGCTTCATAAAGGCGACAAATAAAACATGCTTTTTTATGCTGTCAGTGTTGTGTGAACAACCAGATCGACCTTCCAACTGCATTGTGTTGCATTTATCTTTTCACATGGTTGTAATGCGTCAGACAGAACGTGCTGTTTATACACCTGACCTCTTGTTTTGCTGATCTTTATATTCAAAGAGGATCTGTGATGCTTTTGTTACATGTTCAACTTGCTTGTGTTGCTGTTTGATCATGAAGAAGCTCCAGTTCTCCTCTATATCAGTGTCAGTGTTTCTGAACTCCTGAAACGCCTCCATTGTAGTCTTGAGTTTCTTCCAGGAACGAACACGTCTCAATATTCCTCATTATAATAATTCATACGCAGAATAAAGGGGCGGGGCCTGGTTGAGTTAGTTAGTAGTGTGTTAAACTGGCGGTTATGGAAAGGGGCGGGACATTTCCCAAACACACTCGAAGCGCTCGACCAATCACAACACACTGATCCAGCCGACCAATCAGAGCACAGTGTGCTTTCAGGAGGAGGGGCTTCATAGAGACAGGAAGTAAACAGAGCGTTACTGACAGACTGGGAAGAGAGGAGCCGCAACAATGGAGAAAGAAAAAAAAAGTATTTCCTTTGAGCTTTCCGCGTATAGACGACACCATTGGTAAAATTATCCCCATTCAAACGGATTTGCGAAAACTATTAAAAACGCTGCATTCTGCTGCCAGGCCATTAGATGGCGATGAAACACTATAGGCTGAACGCGTAATACGCATGTGCATGATGTCATCGTCTTCAGAGATTTGCTGTTTACACGACACCGTTTTCAACTAAAAACGGCGTTTTGGGCGCCTGAAAACACAAACTTTTGAAAACGGGTTTCAAATTGCATGTTTTTAAAAACAGTCTCTGTGTAAACAACAAAAACGTGATTTTCTGAAGACGACGACGTCATGCACATGTGTATTACGTGTTCAGCCTATAGTGCTTCATCGCCATCTACTGGCCTGGCAGTGTTTGTAA